CCCTGTTCCTGACCTTCAGTTTCACCACCCTCTGCCTCCCCAAGACCTCTGGTGCCCTCAGGCAACTCCTCCCTTCCTGCCCCCTTGTGCCTGGAGCTGCCTCCCCAGAACTCCTGCATGCTGCCTACAGTTTCTCTGACTTCCTTCCCTCCACTTGCACCTGCTGGATGACCTTGGGCAAGCCATAGTTCTGGCACAGCTGTTCTTGAAAAAGAGCAATTACTGTCCGAGCTCTCTCAGCCCCACCTACCTCACAGGGTGTCTGTTGTGGGGAGGGGAAGGGAAAGGAGATTGTAAGCCGCTCTGAGACTCCCTTGGGTAGTGAAGGGTGGGGTATAAATCCAATCTCTTCTCTCTTCTTCTTATGTTCTTATGATCCAGCCCTTGTAACAAATGAGTTTGATACCTCTGGGATAGATCATATTACCTCCTTTCCAGAGCAGAGTGGGGGTAAGGATGAAAGGACTGAGTGGGGAATGAGATGCACGCATGTCAATCAAAATAAGAGAACTACAAAAACACTTGTGAGTTTGTTCAAATTGTCATTAAGAGTCACTATTAACCATTAATTTTATAAAACACTTTACCTAATATGTAGGAAGCTGTATCAAATGCTCTCCCATAATCAACAAAGCAAATAGCACAATCCTTTTTTCCCGTTTATGCAAAAACACATGACTTCAAAAATAATCAAACTCATCTTATTAGGTAGACATTTTTCACATTTCTGATAAGTCAAAACCAAACAGCTGTTAACATTCCTTATACATATATCAATAAAAAAAAAAATACAATTTGGGGACATTTCACATTAGCTTCACTGGACAGCAGTAAGTCTGCTTCATCTTCCACTTCATGAGAAACATCAGTTCCCTACTACTGTCTGTGACTCCAATTATTCGCTCAGGATCGAGACTTCTCGGAAATCCTCTTGGTTTATCAATAGTGTCCTTCTTTTTCTTTCATTTACTATCATGAGATTCACTGTCTGACAGAGATTTTCTTTTGGCATCATCTGTTTTCTCTTTACAAGCTGAGAGTTCAGAAAAGCTTCCATTAACTCTGGACAATCCAAAATGTCTCCAGGTTCCCAGGTATTATCAGCATCAGTAAATCCCTTCCGTTTCAAGAAGTATTCAACCTTTCCATTAACTACATGTCAATAAGAACTTCCCTCAGCTATCAGTCCATGTGGCGTAATGGTTAGACCATCTAACTAGGATCTGTTAGACCAAGGTTTGAAGCCACAATCTGATATGGAAACCTGGAGAGCGACCTTGGGCCAGTCACACAATCTCAGCCAGATGTAATTCACTGGATTGGGATTGTGGGGATAAAATGGAGGACTGGAGAATAACGTCAACCCCTTTGGGTTCACACTGGGGATAAACGAAGTCAGTCTTTAATGAGAGAAAGTTGATACTGGACCAGAATGATTTCAGAGAAATGACTGATGCTGTTTTCAGTAAGAAAGGAGATAATATTTTTCGCAACTCTTTCTGAAGGAACGGGAAAGGCACTTGTTATAAATGCAATCCCATAAAAAAGGACAATATTTCTTTCTGTTGCTACATCAAATATTGCTGTAACTTTTTGAACAGGAGGCAGAACTGCTCATTCCGCATTCAAATGGCCATTAAAGGTTGTGAGTGCAGCAACCTCTGGGGTAGGCACGACCTCTGGACAAGAAAAGCGATGGGCATCTTTGGATGCATCTCCAGCTCCTTCTCTCCCTTCCTCCCAGCTGTTGGAGAAAAGGAGGGCCCCTGGATTTCCCCCTCCCGCTCCTCTTGTGGAGGGGGGACGTTGGCATCTCTCCAGTACTGAGCCTGGCACCCCTGCCTATCAGAATACCCAGAGAACAGGGCCAGGTACACACAGGATATATTTTTCTACCAACCCACCCCACCCCCCTGGTCTGCAGCAGAATCCAAGAAACAAAATTACAAATTTATTATGTTTCGGAAAAGAGTGAGACCTTGCAAACCTGTGTTGTGAAGTCTTGACTTTCAGTTTGGGAAGAGAGGAGCAGCTGTCAGGAGAGCTCAGCAGGCAGGGGAGGGGATGCAAGGCCTGCCCTCCTTCACCCATCCAGGCCACCACTGTGTGAGTCAGGTGGGTGGGTAGGGGACAGAGGGAAGGAAGGAGACCCACCATTTCCCCCTCACCACTGCACCAATGAGGCAGGAGATGGCAGCACATTAGATCGACAGGGTGGTGCGTTCAGTGGCCAGCACGGCAAGCAGGGGGGTAGGATGGGATTCCCCCCCTGCAAGTCTCAAGGGGCTCCTCCTGGTTATCACCAGACTTTCCAGAAATGCAGATGACATATTAGTATGACTGTCAAAGCTGCCAGCCAGTAAATTGCAATGCACATTGCGGTAGCCTTGAACTGATGAGGCCCAAGTTCAAGTTGTCGCTCAGCTATAAGATGGCGGGGCCTGAAGATCTCCCAGAATTACAGCTGATCTCCAGATGACATAAATCGGTCCCCCTGGAGAGAACGGCCCCTTCAGAGGATGGACTCTATGGCACTTTGCCGCCACCTCCCCGTTCCTCCCCTCCCCTGACCCCACCATCCCCAGCTCACTCGCTCTGGGCCTAACTTCCCTCACAGGGCCATGGTGAGGCTAAAATAGGAGCACCCAGTTCCTTGGAAACAAAAAAGAGAGCAAGACGGCTGTGTGGATGAAAAGGGCCTATAAGAGACATGGAAACCACAGGAAAAGAAACCTTAATGCAAGCATAGCCCAGCAGGACCCTGGCTAGGCAAATCCACCTCCGGATTTTTCAGTCCAACTGTAGAGTTGGGGATGGATCAAGCCAGTAAACGAAGGCACCCTCTGTGGCTTGTCCGGTAGTTATGGAATGGCTTCCCACCCCCTAAAATAAAACCCAATTCAAGCAGCAGAGTTTTCAATGTAACATAACTTTATAGTAAGTGTAACATCTTTCCAGGCTCTGGAATAACTGCAATACAAGTGCTTTGAACACAGCAACCATGACTGGGGCAGGATCTTCAGTGCCTGTCAGAAAGGGCAGGCTGACACAAGCAAGTCCTAACAGATGGTGCCCAGTAAAGAAAAGAGGAAGTCCCGAATAGTGCAAGGCCTCTTCTTCCCCTGTAGGCACTGCAATGGTTCCTCTCTTGTGCTTGAGGAGAATAGAGGCTAGAGAGGGCCGCCCTGGGGGGGTCTGTTTTGAGCTCTCCTTTAGAACCAGCTTGCTATTGTTTACAATGCAAAAGACGTTACTGTCACTTTCAGAAATAAGATAGAAAGGAAAAAAGACTGCTGGGCAATGGAGGGGGGAAATGTCTCCATTTTACTCAAGGTTTTGGTGGCTGGGAGCCCAGAGAGGCCTTTACAGGACTCAAAAAAAGGGGGATTCTAGAGAAAAAATATTTTCTTATTGGTGGTCTTGGTGTGAAGAAGTGGTCTTGGGAAGAGATTCTGAGCTGGCCGTCCCCATTCACGCAAAAAAAGGGCAGGAGGGTCTCTCCAGCGAAGGAGGCTCCAGAGAACTCGTAGAGAAGGGCTGCTTGTTCAGCGTCAAAGAAGGCCACTCGACCCCCAGTGTAGTTCAGGCACACTCGGATCCTCTTCAGCTTCCCGGTCAGTTTTGTTACGTCTTCCCCGAACGCCCATGATAACTTCTCCCCCACAGCCCAGAACCCTTCCTCAGGACTAAAGGAGAACTTTTCCTTCCTCCTCACAGAATTTCTGGCCACCCCCACAGTCCATTCTGTCTGACTTCTCACCAGGACTTCCCAGAAATGGCGGCCTCCTGTGAATCCCTCAGGGCCCAGCACAGCTGGACACACGTCAAATCTCTCAGACCTGTAGGGCAAGGCTTGAGCTATTTTTCCTTTTTTCACACTTTTCCAACCCTCAGACAGGATGAGTTGCGGATGGGCCGTGTCTGGATCCAGAGTCACATTTGCTGTTGGGGGAAGATGAGGAGACAAGAAGAGAAACGGCATCAGCTGGGGAATCTCACCCTCTGGCCTGGCCTGTTTCCTTCTCCTGCCAGTTTGGTGTAGTGGTTAAGTGCGCGGACTCTAATCTGGGAGAACCGGGTTTGATTCCCCACTCCTCCACTTGCACCTGCCTGGATGACCTTGGGCAAGCCGTAGTTCTGATAAGAGCTGTTCTTGAAAAAAGAGCAGTTTCTGTCAAGAGCTCTCTCAGCCCCACGTACCTCACAGGGTGTCTGTTGTGGGGAGGGGAAGGGAAAGGAGTTTGTAAGCCGCTCTGAGACACCTTTGGGTAGTGAAGAGGGGGTATAAATCCAATCTCCTCTCCTCCTCCTCCCACCTCCGCCACCCTCTCCTTGGTTAATTGCCTCTCCTGCCTCCTCCTGCCCTTTTAAAACGCAAAGCAGTCTTCTTGCGTGCTTCAAGAAAAGGCAGACAAACAATGAACAACAACAGGGACCAGTGTTCCCTCTAAGCTGAGTTAGTGTGAGCTAGCTCAGTTTTTTAGCCTCTGGCTCACAGATTTTTGTCTCCGCTCAGGAAGGAGGGCTCCAGAGCAAACTAATTTATGCAGGAGCCAAATCGCTCGCTCACAACTTTAATGCCAGTAGCTTAAAAAGTAGAATTTTTGCTCACAAGACTCCACAGTTTAGAGGGAACATTGACAGGGACACAATCTCTTTTCTCCCACATCCCATGCTGAGCAGATAACCGTGAGGGAGAGAAAAAGAACAATAACAATTTCAGCTGCAGGTTTCTTTGGTTAGAAATCACCAATGAGAATGGAAGATTTCTCTCCCTTACCGTGAATCTTCCTTCTCAGTGGTCCTGGGGTGGGGCAGTCACCACTTGCGGGGAGAAGCTCCTCCCTGGAAACAGGCAGGCTCCCTGAACTTTGTGATTCCTGGAGGGGAGGGGGTTCACTCCCACGCCCCAGTCTAGTCCTGAAACACTACAGCTCCCTCTCCAAAACGTATCAAATGTGAAAACAGACCTCCAACAAAAACGGTCCCAACAAACCACAAAGAGAACAGGGTGAAGAACTCTTGAGAGAGGCCCACCAGTTCAGGGAAAAACCAAAATTGAAGCAAAGATCAAGTGTCTTCTGAGAAAGGGAATTCTACCCTTGGGTGGGAAGAGACTGCCCCACCCCACCCCAAAACCACCGAGAAGGAAGATTCACAATGTGTGAGACAAAGAATCTCAGCTCCTAGCCTGAAAAAGGTATGCTGCAGGACCCTTCTTCCAAAAGTGGCCTCAGCGGAGGCCGTTTTGTCAGTCCTGTAATGCCTGGTGAAGGAGTGGACTGACTTCCAGGTGGCAGCCCTTTCAACTACCTCTATGGAAGGGAAGGACCGGAAAGCTGCTGATGTCGCCGCCGCCCCTCTGAGGGAATGGGCTGTAACATCCAAAGGGAGATCCAGTCCCCTGGACTTCAACACCAGGAAAATGCGGCCTCTGACCCATCTGCCAATGGTGGATATGGAGACCTTATGGCCTAGAGAAGATTTCCTAAAGGACACAAACCATTGGAAACAAACCATTAAAAGCCTGTTGCTTTCTATAAGTGCAGTGGCGGCGACAGGACTCAGCAAGTACATGCATTGGCATATGCCTTCTGAGTTCACTCGCCGAGTCGTGCTGCAGAGGCGGGGCTCGCTGGAGATGGCAATCTCTTTTAATGCCTTCTTGGTATAGCCGAATGCACCCAAATAAAAGCCAGAACAAAACTGGCCTATGGGGAGGAAGCCAGGGCCGAGTCTGTTATCTTGCAGCTGCGTTCGGATCAATATGAAGGACAGGCAGGGGCGGGGGGAGTGTCAAGAAGAGGCGTCCTCCCTCCTCTAGAGCTTTTTCCACTGGCCACTCCTTTCTTTTAATTCCCTCACACACACCCTCCGGAACACCCAACCCAGGAAAAAAAATGCTGGCCGGGAAACGGGGGGGGGAGGGTTTCCCCTCCAGTGGGAGGAGGCAGAGAGCCATTCACTCCTGAGTGTAGAGTAGCAGCGGCGGCAACATGTTGCAGGCTCAGCTCTTCCTCATCAGTGGTCCCATCGGGAAAGGGATGTGGTGCCTGAGCCCCATGGCAGCTCCTGCGAGGAGGATGCCTTGTGTTATGTATGCGTCCCGCCAGAAGGCACCCGCAAGAAGGAGAAGCTTGGATCCAAAAGGACAATAGGACCTGGGATCCTAGTCCCTTCTCTAGCCGGCCAATAGGCTCCTTGGCGGGAAATTCAAACCCTCCAATGGAGAGGGAGGCCCGGGGACGGGAGTGTATATAGTTGGCCTTGCAGGGCCGTTGTGTGTTCCATGTTAAGTACTAAATAAACGTGTGCAACTGCATGTCGTCGTCCGAGTCCTCCATGTGGCGAACCCAGTACTTTTCACCTTGCCTCACGGGCAGACTCTGCACAGTCCCGGCCGCACTTGCTGCCTTTTCTCCAGCTGCTGCTGCCGCCCTCCCCCTCGGCTCTGTCACTGCCTCCCCTTGTGCGGCTGGGCGACTTTTCCTCACCAAGGGAGAGGGAGGACGAAAACGAGCATAGTGAAGAGAGGGTGTGGGGTGCTGCAAATTCTATAGGGGGCGCTAGCCTCTGGGCCAATGCTCCCTCTAAGCAGTGGAGGCTTGTGAGCAAAAATTCTACTTTGTGAGCTACTGGCATTAAAGTTGTGAGCGAGCGATTTGGCTGCTGCATCAGTTAGGGAGGAAATGCTCACAACAGGACAGGGAAACAGCAGCCACTAAATTTTCCAGCCCACACCTCACTGCAATCCTTCCCAAAAATTCAGTGGAAACTAGGGCTGTGATCACACACACTTAAATAATGCACTTTCAACGCACTCCAACTGGACTGTGCCAGTTCACACAGGAAAATCCAGTTGGAAAGTGCATTGAAAGTAGATTGAAAATGTATTATTAAGTGTGTGTGATCGCAGCCTACATTTGAGAAAGCTGGGGAAAGCCCAGGAGGTGCACAAATGCAGTGAGGAAGCAGGGGGGGAAACCCACTATGCAAAAGTGTTGAACATGGGGCAGATACCCCGTGCAGAGATGGCCAGGAAGAAGCTAGAATTGACAGAAATATCCTAGGTATTTAATTCATGTCCCCTTCCTGCTACTAGAGAAGCAACTTATGGACACTGCTGCAAAATCTAATGCCTGTTGCAGTAGCCTCAGTGGCAGGGAACGGAAGGCTCTGTGGAACAAAACAAGAGCATTCAGTAATGTCATCTCTGGAAAACACCAAGTAGTAAAACACAAATTGTAAGGTGACGCTTTTTAGTTAAGAAATAATCGATCAGTGTACAAAGAAAACTGTACCTTTCTGAAATCCAGAATCCAGAGTGTCTGAGGAAGCAAAGGAACAGAAAGTGAGCACAGGCCCTTGTGCCTATCACAACTCTTGTGACAAGTATCAGTTTTTTTAATAATACTGTCTGTTTTCTCTTGGGGAGGGGAGGTGGCATGGTACAGCCCCACCTCATCCTGTCTCGAAAGCTAAGCATGGTTGATACTTGGATGAGAGACCAAAGAAGACTCTGCAGAGCGAGGCAATGGCAAACCATCTCTGCTCCTCATTTGCCTTGGAAACCTCTCTCTGGGTTTGCCATAAGTTGTTTGTGACTTGAATGCACATAACGCACTTTTTTCTTATATAGTCCCAGCTGGAAGGTGAAGTAGAGGCTACTTCTGGGGAAAATATCCAAATTTGTTTTCACGAGTCACTTTGGATTACTTGAGATTCACTTCATAGGAAGTATGCTAAGGACAGTGGTCCAAGAGTCCAATCCAGCTAAACTCAGGATGCTTCCAGGCAGTGCCATCCTGGGCAGAGTGACACCCTTCCAAACACAGATTCCAATGGGCTTAGAAGAGGTGCAACTCTCTTAGAAGAGGTGCAACATTGTCAGGTCCCCCTTGAGACCATCCTGTGGGCTCAGCTAGAACACATTCAATCAAACACACACACTCAATCAAAGGAACCAGTGCTGAAACGTCTGATTTGGACACTGGCACACTGCAATGGGAATGCAGGGGGAGGTGCTCCTGAAATGGATAGGGTGGGGGTCTCCATTAAATGAAAGCACCCTGGTTTCTCCCCCCTCCCTTTCATTTTAGGGGCTCCTTCTACCGGCTACCTCCCAGTTTGCCAGTGCAATGGCCACAGACATGGCTAGAGATCAGCAACACACAACAATTTAGAGAAAATCCAGGTAATGCAATTCTGAGCCAAAGTCGCTGGAGAATTCTGACCAGAGATCTTTACACGGTGAGCTAAAATGGCCTCCTGAATTGGTACATGGATTCCTTGCATGCCTGGGTCTGCTAATGAAATAAGCAGCCTGAAGCAGACTAAAACACATCAGGCCCACTCTAATGCTCAGTCTGAAATCCCTGCAGTGTTTCCTCATTACCTTTGAGTTGCTTCTTGATGCCCTCCAAAAGGGGACTTACATCCGAGAAGTCCCAGATGCGCCACTTCAGTGCAAGAGGAAAAGCCGCTGGATTCTCAAATGCCTCCTTTTCTTCATACCTGGGGAAAATCCCATTAAGGTGCCATCCATTCAATTCAGAATCCCACCCCCCACCGCCACCCCGTGGATCAGAGAAGCAGAGGAAGGAACTGGCAGGAAGCCGGGAGACACAGGCTGATGCTGAAAGCACAGAAAGATGGGGGGCTCTCTGGAAAGGAATGCTCACCTCACTCTGTTAAGAACTGAAGCTGGGTTCTGAAAAGCCACACAGGAGCTGCAGGGAATGGCTACCACAAAATAAAACTGAGCCCCTTTAAGCACAGATTGCCACCACAGGGTGGGGGGCAAGCTCCTGCTCCCTCCAGCTGGTTTTGCACACTTAAATAGCGCCAGGGAGAGTATTTGCCCATTTTTGCTGCTCCTTGTTGTGGAGCATTCCGTGCATGTGAAACACCAAAAAACAGGGAAACTCCCTGCCCCAGCACTGGCTCACCATGAAACAATGACTCGGGGAAGGGGAGCCAGGAGCCCTTCCTCTCCCATGGCGGCATTTGAGGCCTAAACAGGGTCTGCTTTATTTTTTAATAGCCATTGAATACCACTGTGCAGCCCAGGGCAAACTCTTCAAAAAGCAAATGCCTAGTTTGGCCCAAAGAACAGCCACCCCACACCCCCTGCTCCTACCCGTCTTGCAAATGTCTGTGTTAAGAAAAAGAAAGCTGGTGAGTTCTGGACTAGGACAGTAGGACCCTACTTCAGTCCCACACAGCTCACTGGGTGACCTCAGACCAGTCTCTCTCTCTCTCTCCCCCCC